CAATCTTTTCTCCATTGATAAGAATGTTGTTTATTGGTCTAGTGGTGAGGATTTTTGTTTTCTTTACATTGAGATGCAATCCATAACGAAGGCTGTGCTCTTTGATCTTCATCAGTAAATGTTTTAAGTCCTCTTCACTTTCAGCAAGCAAGGTTGTATCATCTGCATATCGCCGGTTGCTAATGAGTCTTCCTTCAATCCTGATACCACGTTTTTCTTTATAGAACCCAGCTTCTTGTATTGTTTGCTCAGCAAACAGGTTGAATAAGTATTGTGAAAGAATACAACCTTGTCACACAGCTTTTTTAATTTGAAACCATTCAGTGTTCCCATGTTCTGTTCGAACAACTATAGGTTCGGACTCCCTTGTAGGTTCCCCAAAATGACAGCATTTTAATGATAAATTTGAACCCATTCAAATTCAAAATGATAAATTTGAACCCAAAGTCTTATAAGGGTAGGTCCATGAGAACAAATTTTCAAGAGTGGGCCTTCTGTTTCCAAATAGACATGTCAAACAAATCAGTTTGTCAGTTATCTCATGGCATTAAGTTTCATTCATACGCTGAGAACTCAAATTTCTATCTCCAAGTCAGACTTCACTCTTCATGACTCAAGGTCAACCTATTGCCCACCTTCCCTTGAATGTGCAATAGGGACCTCATCCAAATGTGAATCTAATCTCTAATTTCATTTGGCCCCGCCCCTCAAAAACAGCTGCTCCCATCTCAACACTCAGATGGGTATAGGGCTTCAACTCCTACCCAACATTCTTGATTTCCCACTCTACTGCTGACACTTGGTAAACCCCCTATCTTGTATTAAGTTACATTTTAACATTTATTTAGTAGTATTACAGCCAGTAGTGAGCAGAAGCCTTACCCTGTCTGGTTAACTGTATAAGTTCTTCCTTTTAACACCTATTTCAGCATTTCGAGGGCAAAAGCACCCATATCTTTCTTAAAGGAATGATACACACAATACCCACTTGTCTCTACCTTGGCTTTGTCACTGGCGATCACCCCAGAGCAGCGCACTGTCACACCAGTTACTATTTTTATCACTAAATTTATCCCTATTTCTCTATTGCATCTGAATTTTGAGTGAGAGTGTTTATTCACAGGTTCAGACACATTGACCGAAGACCTTCCTAGTACTTGTGAAATTTCCATTTTTAACGTTAAGTGTCTGATTCATTTGTAATTATACTTGGCATAATAAAAAGAAAATCTAATATTGTTTTCCTTTACTATATGCTAAGGAATTGATTAATGAGCTGGACTGCAAGGTCGATTTGAATAGCAAGGTCACTATGGGTCAGAACCGACTCGACAGCAATTAATTACAGTAAAAAGGAGCCTGGTGGGGTGAGACTCCATGTGATAAGCACTGAACTGCAAACCACAAACTTTCTGCTCCTGTGAATATTTTAAACTTTTGACACCCTTTACAGGTCGCTATGAGTCAGAATCGGCTCGATGGCACTTAACAGTAATAGCAGGAGCCTGGTGGCGCTGTAGGAAGGTATTACACTGCTAACTGAAAGGTCAGTTGCTCTGCAGCAGAAAGATGATGTTCCCGTAAAGAGTGACAGTCTGAGACACCTTACAGAGGCTCACTACGAGTCAGAATCGACTAGCGGGAAGATGGGTTTGGTTTGGTTGACTTAAGAAATGCTGATTTCTAAGTGCAACTGGGTTTCTATGCAGTTCCATTAGTCTGTCTTTCTCAGCAGCAACGTCACATATTTTGTTGTTGTTGTTGTTGTCAGGTGCCATCGAGTCGGAACCGACTCATAGTGACCCCATGAACAGCAGAACGAAACACTGTCCGATCCTGGGCCAACCTCACTACTGCTGCCACACTTGAGTCCATCAATGATGCCACCTGGCTGATCCATCTCGTTGGGGGTCTTCCTCTTTTTCTCTGACCCTCCATCTTACCCAGCATGACATCCTTCTCCAGCGACTGTTCTCTCCTGACATGTCCAAAGTATAAGAGACGAAGCTTAGCCATCCTGGCTTCCAAGGAGCACTCTGGCTGCACTTCTTCCAAAACAGATCTATTGGTTCTTTTGGCAGTCCATGGCACTTTTAGTATTCTCCTCCAACATAATTCAAAGGCATCAATTCTTCTACGGTCTTCCTTATTCACTGTCCAGCTTTCACATCCATATGAGGTTATTGAAAATACCATGGCTTGGGTCAGGCGCACCTTAGTCCTCAAGCTGACATCTCTGCTATTCAATACTTTAAAAAGTTCCTGTGCAGCAGATTTGCCCAATGCAATACGGCGTCTGATCACATATTTTAGAGGTGTAAAAATGTTTTAATATCTAATAAAGCTACACCCCTCCTCCACCATGGCTTTCTTTTGTGTGTGTGTTTTTCACCCTTGTTGTTCTTACCAGTTAAATTTATAATTAGCTTGCCTAACTTCAGGAAAAAACAACAACAAGAAAACAGCACCACATTAAACAATGATTAAGTTCTACATTATTTTAAGAGGGACTTTAGACTGATGATGTTGCAATTAAAAGCTTGTTGGTTTCCCTTGCATACCATTGTAAAACAGACACTTGAGGGGGAGAGAAAGGTAGCCAGAAACATCACCATAGAAAGCTTGTAAGTCTGTCTTCTGCCTATAACTGATCGGAATACCTAAATGGGGCTAGAACTTGCCCAATGAAGGAGACTTCCTGTGGAGCTTCTGCATTGTATAAGACCATAGGTGGAATCCTGAACCCTATCCAGAATCTTCTGAGGTGAGAACTCTCCACTTGAAAGGACAAGCAGACCAGCCTAGAGCGGCTAGAAGAATAAAAGATACTTCTTTACAGAAAGACCGACAGGAAAAATGAAAAACAATAACGGCAGTCCTACTGACTACCACTACAAGAGCAAGCAAGTTGCTCACCCAGGAGCCATCAAGGCAAGTGGTTGGGTCCCTCAGGGCAAACCCCCTTCCAAGACTAAGACTCAACGGGAATACATAAGCAGGCATGTGGTCTTGCTGGTGACCACTATGGTCACTGATAAGGGAAAGTGAGGGAAAAACAGCAATGAAGCAGCAAGCTAAGCCCTACCATGTTCAATAGACTCCTGTGAATTGATTGGGTTGAGACCTGGTTGGCCAGCAGTGTGGCAAGACCTGGGGACTCTTGGGCCCAGAGACAATAACATAGCCACAGAGGACTAGAGTGGAGAGTGAAGCGTCCAGCTGATAGAAGAGAGGGCATACGCACATTAACACCCACACTTGCTGATAATACCCACTTGACATGGCTTCAATGGCTGGATGATCAGAATGAGACTAGAAGAAGAAAGAAGAGGGAAAAAGAGAGTAATCCGATACCATTTGATGAACATGACCTACACCTATGGATGCAGTTCAAAAGATGGAACAAATCTTTACAGAGAGGATCATTCCCACCCCCTCGGTACACAGGGTTGACAGGGATGGGCAACTTAGACATTGGCTACCCAAAATGGGGGTGCTACAAAGGCAAGATGTGACTGGCTTATAACTTCCAAGAGGAAACCTAGATCGAGAAGGCGCGGGGAAAGGTAGAATCTCCACTGAGTGGTATCTAATCTGTCTGGGTGGGGCTGATGAAAGGAGACAGAGATAAGACTCTTGTGGTACAATAGTGAGTAACTGCTATCAGGACTGACTGTGAGGGTTGGAAATGCAAAGGTAGACGTTTTTTAGCAAAAGGAGGGGAGTGGTTGACTTTGCAATCAAGGAGTGGAGGGCCCTGGGACCATAAAGGAGAGAAGAGGGGAGTGCAGGACCTTATCCAGAGAAGAAGTGACACCAGAGATAGAGGGAGAGATGATGACGTGGAGAGATGGAGAGGCTGGGGACTCTGGACCCAGAGAGGGAAAGGGGCTGTGTGCTGATGACCGAGGGGTAGGCTTGTGGGGTGTACCCTTTGGTTGTTTGATGATGCATGGATGGGATTGTAATCATGGCGATGAAACAATATATGACAGAATAAATGTAAGGAAACCCTGTATAGGGTCGCTATGGGTTGGACCCGACTCGATGGCACTTAACAACAACAACAACAATGTTCTCCCAAGTAAACTATTACATATAATTCACAATAAAAACTTAAAAAAAAAAAATCTAGTATATGTAAGGACTAAAATCTGGGCCCACGACTGAAAACATTTACCTTTCTATGGTTACAAAAGGCATAAGCTTAACCCAGAACGCATTTGCTATATTGCATGGGAAATTTTTATGTAAAAAAACTTGCATTAACTGATGGAGTGAACACACTTGTTATTTTATTTTTTCAACTGATTTTAATAACATTAAGCACTATTGAGTCTGGCATAGGATTTCTGAGGATCAGCTGGTGGGTTTGAACATCCAACTTGTGGTTAGCAATCCAGTGCTTAGCCTATAGTGCCACACCAGGACTCCATATAATCAATTGGAAAAAAAAATCAAAATGTTCAAATGAACAAAGCACACAGGAAACATTAATACAGTACACGCTCACCTTCCTTTTTCAGCCATTTCACAAGGTTCCCTTCTTCCATTGTAGGAGATAATGATGGCATTAGTATCTTAATAGGATCAACTGAAACAGAAAAAAAGAAAAAAAAAAAAATTAGCCACTAAAACACAATGTACCTTAGGAGGTATGAATAAATTACTATCTAATTCTCTGTATATGACCGAAAAACTCGTAACTAGCCAAAATAAGTGCAAAATAAACAGGACTGTTGTTAAGTGCTAATGAGTGGGTTCCGCCTCATAGCGATCCTGTTTAGGGTTTCCAAGGAGCAGTGGGTGGATCTGAACCGCCGCCGACTTTGTGGTTCAAATTGACCTTGTGGTCCCGTGCTTTTTCCCACAATGCCATACCAGGACCCAAAGCTTTTTCCTTTATAAAATAAAACTCTTTTATTTAAAAAAAAATACTTTCAACTTTTTCATAGTTCTCTAGTACTTAAAATACACTTTCAAGCCAGTAATATTTGCAGGACTAAAAGGAAAAGGGGCAATTTATGTTTCGTCACCTTCCCCTTTACACGTTTAGCATGCAAATAAACAAACAAAACCAACGTGTGTGTGTGTGTGTGTGTGTGTGTGTGTGTATACACATAGACATATATACAAACCAAAACAGGGTTTTGATGACCCGCAGCAAAGATGAGACTTTTAAGATTTTGCTGTATTTTTATTTTCCTCTTAGGAGCCCTGTGGCTCTGGACTGTGAAGCACTAGACTCCAGAATCACAAGGTTGGTGGTTTGAGCCCACCAGTTGCTCCAATAGGAGAAAGAGGAGGCTTTCTGTTCCCACAAAGATTTAGAGCTTCAGAAACCCTAGAGAGGGTCACTATGAGTGGGAACTGACTGGCGGCATTTAACAAACATACTCTGCAAGAGTCCAAAGTTCTTCTAGTAAGAGTGAAAAGAAAGGTTTGTCTAGTCAAGAATGATTAGGCAAGAGAAATTAAGTGGTTAGATTACTTTTAGATTACTGTGGTGGTTGTGTGCCCCTAACACGGTTCTAATTCACAGTGTTTCTGAGGCTATGAATATTTACAGGAATAGAAAGTCTCACATTTCTCCCTCAGAGCAACAAGCAGATTTGAACTGCTGACCTTGCAGTTCGCAGTCCCGCTCGTAATCCACTACACTACCAGGGCTCCTTTTCGATTACCATACTATTTAGTATAAAATTTCTAATAAAGTTGTAAAGGTATGCTAAAGCTATTAGCAGTGTTTATGGTAACAAATGGCACAGGCTGAAATCTTTGAGAACCTACACTCTCTCCTGAATCCTCTCCTCCTCAGACTTTAAACTTTCCAGACCCCAAAAGGAAAAAGCTGTGCATATCTAACATGTTCCAAAGTGGAAGAGGACAGAACATGAGGCTAAATATTTCCTTTAGAAAACGGAATTAATTTTACAATCATTTCTGGGGCTTCGTGATACAGAACATTTGCAGTATTTAGAAGGAAGCTCTGTTCTTTCTTCATTTTCTGTTTATTCTTTCTCTACAGGACTGGGAAGAAGATCCAACTATATTGTAACGTATCTGCCTCGGCCAGTTATTCCTTTTTAGAAGCGCCTGCCTGTAGAGAACTTGTGTTTCCTCTCAGCTTTTCCATGTGATAGACAGAAGTGGACATCTCTCTCTGTCCCTCCATGGGGGCTCACTAGGAAGGAGGCAGGCATTAAGGTGTGTCTGCTTTGTAGACTCAAGCTCATCCTCAACAAAAAGCTGAAGGTCTAAATATGAGGTGATACTAGGAAACTAAATAGAGAAGCCTTTTTGGTTATTGCACGGCTCAATTAAAGAAAAGGAATAAAAACATTTACCTAAAAACACATAACCAGCCTAAGTCTAAGTATTTTCTTTTTCTTAAGCTCACAGTAACAAATGGGGTCTAAGAAAAAAGACAAATAAAAACTACCTTCTAATAGCACCATAATGAATGGTCAACCTCTTTCTGAAAATTATAGCTTAAAAGTCCCAACCTCTTTTTTTTTTTAAAGCTGTAATTTTTTAATAGGAGTGTTGCTTCTATTAAAAAAGTTTAAGGTTGGCATTATGGTATTATGAATTACTCCATAATTACATATGAATCAAACTTATACATCAAATAGAGTTCCACTTCAAAGAAGCAAAACAAATGGACTTCAGTGATTCTACATCCAGATTCCAATTTATGACACACACTAAGTAAATTCTCTGTAAACAAAGTCTCTCTTCAATTATTTTTATACCTTGGTTCTAGTTGTCATAATATAATTTGTATTTATTTCATGATTCTCTCTCTTATTTACAGTCTCATTTAAGGGTCCTTCATGTTTCCATTATTCCTGACATAAGGCCTATATTGAGAAGCTTTTATATTTATTTTTGTTATTTTCTAAATCAAACCTTATCAGAAACCTCAAAAAATTTAAAAATAAAACACATAATCATTCCTCATACAGCCACCATTCGTGGATGACCATAAATTACTTATCTAAATAATGTTCATAAAATATATAAAAATTCCATAACAGATCATTCTCCCTACCCTGAAATGAGGGCAACAAAAAACCAAGCAAGGCGTTTTGGACCTCTCCGCTATACGGTATTATCTCTTGATTGAGTATACTAGCTTATTATAGGGAGTAAAAGAGGTCATGTCTTTTCTGATTAACCTGATCAATCTACCCTCACTCATACTGGAAAACCATTTCAAAACATAAACACTGATTTATTAGTAACAGTACATATTTCATTCTAGTATAGACATACTGTATTAACACATTACATATATCTTTCTCAAATGTACTTTTCCTATGGGAAAGTAATTATATCATTATAACAGCTAGAGTGACAGGCTGTTATAAGTTATTAATATCTATCCATTATAACTGCTGCCAAAACTATTGAAGTACTGTGGGCCTTTTTAGGCTTCCTGGAATTTTAACAGACACCTACTATTAACTCATCGCACTGGAAATTAAATATAGTCTCTCACTTCATTCCATTTAGCAGTGCATTCTGCCTTTCTCCTGTCAAAATGAGAATGGTTTGCATGTGTCCCGATTATATTTCCTCCTATAATAACGGATGAGCTTGGGTGACATAGTTGTTTCTTGTTGGTCTGCTAACCATAAAGTCTCAGTAGTTCAAATTCACCAGATGCTCCATGGAAGAAAGATGAGGCTTTCGGTTCCTGTAACGGTTTACATCCTTGGAAACTCTATACAGGGTTGTAAGAGGCCCCACGATGGCAGACAACCACCGCTAACATTAACTGGGCTCAGTTACAGCAAAAATATGGGTGATGGCGGCCATGGTCATACAATACAATTTCAATCAGTCCTCAAAAGATTACCCAAAGTTTGGTTAAAATTTAATTTTTTAGTCTTTTTAAGGAGCCCTGGTGTCACAATGGTTAAGAGTTGGGCTACTAAGAGAAAGGTGTACGGCCCATGGGAAAACAGCTATGGCAATCTGCTCCTATAAAGACTGTTATTGTTGTTAAGTGCTGCTGAGTCGGTTCTGACTCATAGCGATCCTGTATAGGGTTTCTGAAGGAGCTCTAGGAGCGTAATGGTTAGGAGTCGGTCTGCTAACCTCAAGGTCAGCAGTTCGAAATCACCACCCATTCCAGTGGCTAAAGATGAGGCTTTCTTCCCATAAAGATTTATAGCTTTGGAAACCCTATACAGGGTTGCTATGAGTTAGAACAGACTCCATCACACACCAACACCCACAAGATTTCTGAGGTGGCTGGTGGATTTGAACTGCTGACATTGAGGTTAACAGTCTAGTGCTGATCCTACAGAGGCATACTAGGGCTCCTCTAGAAAGATTACAGTGTAGGGAAGCCTATAGGGCAGTTCTACTCTGTTCTAGAAGACTGCTGTGAGTCAGGATTAGCACATGATAGCACACAGTAACAATAAACTGTCATTTTAAGGGTTCTTCTGTCCCTTTTATAAAGCTAACAAGTTATATTGAACTCTTCTAAAGTTTACCATCTACAGTAGTTAAGAAGCATTTAAAAAATTTAAGCCTAAAATGTGAATTTTAGGAGCCCTAGTGGTGTGGCAAGGAGCTCGGGTAGCAGCATAGTGGTTACGAATCGGGTTGCAAACTGCAAGGTCGACAGTTCAAAACTACCAGCTGTTCCGCGGGAGAAAGATGTGGCTTTCTGCTCCCGTAAAGATTTACAGCCTTGGAAACCCTGTACAGGGTCGCTATGAGTTGGAACTGACTCCACGGCACATAACCAATAAACCAAGTGGTGTGGCACTATGGGTTAATGCATTGGACTGCAAAGTCATTTGAACCACAAGGTTGGAGGTTCAAGCTCACCAGTCACTCCTTGGAAACCCTATAGAGGGTTGCTATGAGTTGGAACCGACTCAACTGCACTTACCAACAACAAGTGGCTTGATCGCTGGGGGATGAGTGTTGAGTTGCTAAGCGCAATACAGACAGTTCAAACCCAGCAGTCGCTCTGCGGGAGTGAGATGAGGCTGCTGACTCTAGTAAAGACTTAGTCTCGGAAACCCTAGATAGACAGGGTCACTCTGAGTTAGAAATGACACGATGTCAGTGGGTTGCCGGTGTACTAACTAGGCTAACACAGTGGGCTGCTAATTGCAAGGTTAGCAGTTTAAACCCACCAGACACTCAGGAGAAAGATGAGGTTGTCTGCTCCTGTGAAGACTGACACCTTCAGATTCCCTAGGGACGAGTTCTACTCTGTCCTATGGGGCGCTAAGAAGGAAAACCGACTGGATGGCAGTGGGTGGGTTTAAGATATATATTTCCGATATATGTACGCTGCTGTTGTTGTTAAGTGTTGCCGAGTCAGTTTGACCCTGTATAGGGTTTCTGAGGAGCAGCTAGCTGGTGGCTCTGAACCACCGACCTTGTCATTCACACTGACCTTGCGGGTCAGTGCATTATCCTTCCAGTGCCACACAAGGACTCCAGTGTATGTATGACGGGGTTTCAAAAAGTTCCTGGGAAAATTCCATTGTCTTTCCATTCTATGTTTCCCTGGAACTTTTTGAAGTCCTTTCTGATTTAAATATGTTGTTGTTGTTATGT